GGATACAGATGAAGAATTAAGATTTTGATTTTTTTTTTTTGTGATTTGCACTGTGTCAAACCAAAGATCTGTACTGGTTATCTGAGAGCGGTAGAGGAACAGAACTTTCTTAAACTGCCATAGCTGCTCTGTGGCCTGGGAGTGGTTTGTGATTTTAGAAGTCAGAAGAGAAACCAGTGAGAAAGCTAATTTAGTTATTTCTTGAAATTATTTTAAATTAAATTACTCTTTTATGAGTATCTTGGGGGGAAATTTGGAGTCTTGGCTGAAGTTATTCAAGAAGTAAATTAGAATCTTTAACTGAACCTCAAAACTTTTCAAGTTTGGAATTATTATGTAACATTTAAAGAAACATAAAAGCTGCTTTTAAAAAATGGATTTATTGGGTTCTGATTCTACAAATCATATGTTTATGATGTACAGATGTGTATAGTTTCCTGGCTGGTATCTTGTTCCTTCTTATATATAGAGTCTAAAAACTTTTAATCATCTGAAGGTCTTGTTAATATTAGAGATAATGAGCAGAAGAAATTGAATCCAAGTTGGTGATGATGAGCAGCAAACTGTTGTAATACCTTCTTACATAAACTGTTTAATTTTACAGGATAAAAAACTCTTCAAGCCTCCAGTGTTGGTATTTGTGGACTGTAAGCTAGGAGCAGATCTGTTGAGTGATGCTGTTCACAAGATTACAGGATTGCAGTGTACAGCTATGCATTCTGAAAAGTCTCAGGTGGAAAGAACAGACATATTACAGGTTTGTGCCTCCTAATGCTAAATTTAAAATGGCTTTTCTTTTCTTTCCTTTTATTTTTGTAAGTTTTTTTTTTTTTTAACAAGTTAAATCATAATTTATTGCTTTTCTACAATAAAACCTGGAGTATTGTTGAGACAATGAAGAGACAGATGGACCAAGCAAATTACTGGAGACTAATTCCTAGATTATTTGCTTTGAAATGGGAATTTAAATATACATTTAAGTTTAATTGACAATGTTTTAATTGAAATTGTGGTTTTAATTTCTTTAATTACCTCTGTGAATTATATTTTTACTTAAATCAGAATACAGGGAGTCATTCTGTCTTCTGCAGCAGAATAATCCCGCGGGGTATGTTCTTGCACTACATAACTAACCCCAGCCTATCCTTGGAGAGGTTCAAAATATAAATAAAGGAAAAAACTATTTTTATTTATTCTTCCTTTGCTAGGGATTACTTCAGGAGAAGTATGAAGTTATAGTAAGTACTGGAGTCCTTGGGCGAGGTCTGGACCTTGTCAATGTTAAACTGGTAGTAAATTTTGATATGCCTTCAAGTATGGATGAATATGTACATCAGGTAAGTAAATAATTGCTAAAGCATTATTTGAAAAGTATAATGAAATGTGACATCCACCTCTAGAAATTTAATTGTAAGTGTAAACAGAAAGATTAATTTCCTCTTCCAAATATTGTTCATATAAGAAAGGTGCTCAGTATCTGTTCTGTCTCTTCTGTAAATTATTAAAATCTACAATGCAGTTGTTTTGTCTCCTCTATATTACTATAGACTAGAACAGTGTTTTTTGGTCAGTTATGTTTAAAGTATTATTCTTCCTGTTTTGTACTCTTACATAATTTTGTCTATAGAAAGCAAAGTTTACTGTGTTTTAACTATCTGTGTGAAGAAAGGCCAAATGCCCCTCTTTCTGCTGCAGCTCATCTGCAGTGTGGGATATGCATGTGATATGGCTGGGAAGCCAGTTGTGAACTTAATGTTCATTCCCTCTTCTTACTCCAGTATCTCCTCTGTTTTTTTTTCCTGAGAATTTCCTGCTTTAGAAATAAAAAGGTGGGTGGGTTGTGTGTGTATGTGTAGTTAAAACACCCTAACCCTAGTTTGTGTAGCAGATGAAGAGAACTAATTATTACCCTCTTTTTGGAACTTAGAAAGCCACAGTACTCTAATACTGTGACAGTTTTGAGAACATCAACTACAAGAAAAGCCAACAAAGGGGAGAGAGTGTACAAAGTCAGGGGGCTGGCTCATGTGACATGTGAATAGAGACAGAGGGAACTGGGCTTGTTTGGGCTGGAGGTGAGATGTAATTGCTGTTTTGTTTTGTAATGCATGGTTACATAGGAGACAGAGCTAAACTCTTGGAGATGCACAGTGAAAGAACAAGAGCCAATAGTTACAACTTACTGCAGGGGAAATTCTGGCCTTATAACAGGGAAAAAAACCCTTTGTTTTGTTTTTCACAGTGAGAGCAGGCAGTAGAGTGAGCTACCCAGAGACATGGTGGCACCTTTGTCCTTGAGGACACTTGAAACTCACTCCATAGGACAAGACCCTGAGCAAATTGGTCTAACCTCTCTGGTTTTTAATTCTCTTTCTGCAAAAGTTTCAAGCAAGTAGTAAATAAATACAGGTGGTCTTTCCTAGCATCAAAACTGTACCAATATTAGCATGATATCTCTTCCTAAATAGAGAGTCTTTGTATATACCTTTCTAATTTGTTCAAGCACTTTGGATAATATTGATAATTTTCAGTTACTAGAACACTGAAAGTAAAGGGCTTTTTTATGTTCATGCTTGTACGTCCTGTGCTTCGTACAAGATACATGTATGTGGCATTGCTACAGTAAGCATTTTTTGAAGTATTTTGTTTGGACCAGATTTACTGTAAGCCTTTGCTCATAGGCTGTATCATACATTTCAGCATCAATATTGAACTTGAGGTATGTCCCATAAGCAAGTTGTGATTTTTGATGGATTTAAGCTAAATCTTCAGATCTGCATGTTCTGACTTTAAGAAATTTATCAAAACTTTATGCTTAGAGGGTGAGACAAAGAGATTTGGCGTCACTTAGGTTAGTCAGTGTTTTATAACAGAAAGTAAACTTTATGGATCACTGAAGAATTTGCATTTAATACCGATAACTTAAAATAATTTTTTCTTTTTCAGGTTGGAAGAGCAGGAAGGTTGGGTCACAGTGGGACTGCAATTACTTTTATCAATAACAACAGCAAGAAGCTCTTTTGGGATGTTGTGAAGAGAGTAAAACCAACAGGCACCATTCTTCCCCCGCAGCTGCTTAATTCCCCGTATCTTCATGACCAAAAGAGAAGGGAACAACAGAGACTTAAACAATTACAGAATAGGCTTGTAACAGGAGATAATATAATGGACATTATTAGAAAACATGACAAAAATAATTCTCAGAGGTAATAAAGATATATTTATAGTTATGTAATCATAATTAAAGTGTGATTAAAAATAAACATGGAATTTTGATGCCTTGTATATTACCTTTTTTGAAGAAGTTTATATATTCAGTTTTTTAAGGAGTCTCATTTTTAGCTCATCTTTATTTTGAAATACAGGATATTGTGTGTGTTTGAATTACAGTAGTGCCTAGTAAAAACACTTCAGCCCTTTCTCGAAATCCAGTAGTCTTTGATCTTGCTTATAAATGAACGGAGGAGGTACAATTTTGTTTTAATATTTCTGAATAATCACCTCAGACTTGTGAAACACACTCTTCTGGTGATTTTTGTGTTATTATATTCAGACAAGATCTTTGCAAAGGACACTCTCACAAAAAAAGGATAAAAATACGCTGACAGATTGGTGTCTGAACACAAGCCTCACTCTCTTCCTGTTAGTTCACATAAAAGTGTCCACTGGGAATATTGCTCTGAATCCTTGGTATGCTTTCTGGGGTTTCTTGTGAACATACATTCAAGTTTTGCTTTTAAACAGTACTGAAAGTTTCTCTTTTATTTCCTGTGGACCAGTTAGAAGTCCTGCTCAAGCATTTGCAATAGCAGAAAACCTTGGTTATTAGTACAACTTCATTGTAGAGAAGTAGGATAAACCACCTAAGGTAAATAAAAAAATTGTGTTCTGAATAAATGAAACAGTGTAGTTCACTACATATATGTTATATATGTAATATATTGATACATGTATAGTATGTGTAACAGACATGAATATGTAAATCATTACTACTTAGTTAAGCACAACTTGCCTTGTTCTGGCACCGGATGCTGTTTATTTTTTTGGAGGGTAATAAAACCAAAACCATATTAAGACAGTGTTACACAACTTCCATCCAACGTCTGAGATGGGTTATAATCAAGACTTGCTTTTTTTTTCCTCTTTTAAACTGAAGCTTGAGGAAATTGGTTTCATCATAGTTTTCATGTTGTTGTGATGCATCATCCCTTTTTGGCAGAATGAGGTGTCCCAGGTAGTTTAGATGTCAGCTCTGTGCATTGTATATTTGCTCTTTGGCCAAAGAGCAGCAATATGATAGCCTGGCTTTGTTTAATTTTTAAAAGCTCAGTAGCTGGCTATGGTTTTTTTTTTTTTCTGCAACTGGAAACAAAGAGAATGAGTTTTGCCTGCTGGGAGACGGATGTCATGACTGTCGTACTGGTGCTAGATTTATATAGTTAGTAATGACAAACTACTAATGTTAATTTTGAAAGTCTGAATTATATTTATTATGATGCCTACTATTTTCTAAGCACTTTTGCTACTACTTTACTCTGATACAGGGAAACCTTTTTAACTCGCCTCTTCTTTCCCTTTTGTCTCCCTCTGCTGGGTTTTTAATCTTTTCCATATTAACCAGTTGTACAGTATTTATAAATGCTGTATATTTTATAAGAAGCATGTATCCTTCGGCAAGAGACCAGTTTTTCTTCCATGAGGTGGCTTGGCCATATCCCTCCAGTCCTCGGCATCATCAGTAGCGCCGTTTGTTCCGAAGGGTGAATTCCTCTCCCCCACCGTCTCCCGCCCGCCGTCGAAGTCACCGGCGGGGCCGGGCTTCCTGCCCGCCCTCCTTGGGATCTTCCCGAAGAGGAGGAAACGCTTCAGGACGCAGAAGCCGCGGCTCTGGAGGCTGCTGCCCGCCCGTCCCTCACGGGGCCGCCCTTTCTGACGCAACTCCCTGCAGGAGCCAATCCCCGCGGGCCCGGCGCATTCAAACGGGGCACGAGATGGCGTGTTCGTTACGGAGCGAGACCGGTGCGTGAGGTGAGGTTGCAGTGAGGTGAGGTGAGGTGAGGTGAGGTGAGGGGCGGGGGTTCCCTCCAGGGCCCGGGGTGCGCTACCCTCGGGCATCCCGCGGGCGGGCTCTTCTGGGAGCCGCAGAACTGAGGTGCCGGTAGCCCCTGGCTCCCTCAGTCAGCCGCTGCTTTCTTCTCGCTTTCCCCTAGGGGCGCGGGAGGGGCCGGCAGGACTGAGGGGCTGCTTCGGCTGGGCGGTCCTAAAACTGGTCAGTAAGGCGTATTCCCCGTCTGATGGGAGCTCTGCTGAAGAGGCTGGGTTTGCTGAAGGATAGTCAAGCTGTAGAGTTCCCCTGCGCTTTCACCCAGCTCTGAACACTTCGATTTCATCCTTACTTGTTATTTGTCATGATTGAAAATGATTAATGAGCGTACTTTTAACAAGTCTTGAACCTTATTTTAGAATGCAGGCGGTCTTAGTGGGAGATTAAGAAAAGCGTTGTGTATATTTGCAAGCACAGCTATAGAAAAGGGTGTGTGAACTTCTGTCCTTACGCTAGGTATTTCAGTAGAGTTCCTTTTCCTTTGAAGGGGAAATACGGACTTTCAGGAAACACTAACGCAATTCACGGCTTACAACCATGTTTATTTACTGACTGCTAGACGGAACCGCAAAATGCGTGTTTTACAGAGTTTTCTGTATCTGACTTATTGAGCAATAATTTTCCTCACAAATTTTGACCTAGGAAGGCTTTGGGCAGTCATGACACGTAGAAGTGAATGTAACTGCATAAATTCTGAGAGGACTCTGAAAGCTGTAACTCAAAAGTGCAGTATTAAAAAAACCTGCTGTCTGAGCAATGGTTAAATGGTTGCTTCTGTAGCACTTGCTTTCATCTTTCTTCCCTTTCCTTTTCCCTTTTCTTTTGTCCCCTGAACATTTGCAGTTCTTAATGATAGATGAAGTTTTTGAAGGATCTGAGACAGGTGACTTACTGCCTTGTAATAGCAAATTAATTGAAGCTCGCAAGTTTGCAGTAGGTACTGATGTCAAACCTGTAACAACCCAATAACTATGATGCATATGAAACAGTGAAAACATGCTTTTTTATACAGGTTGGGTATATGCACCTTTCTAAATACTTGTATGTAGAAAGGACCCAGGATACATTTTACCATCTTCTTTTTCTGTCCTGTAGGCTATCTTTTTGCTATGCATCTATGTACTATAGTGAATTAAAATCATGTGCAAACATGTTTTAATAGTTGTCTTTTCTAACTGTCCTGTTCTGATAGTGGGATTTACGTTATAAAATCCTCAAAAAAACCCAACCCAAACCCACTTTCTGTGTTCACAGATTTCCTACTCAATGTTACTTTTGTTCTAATGGAGTCTCTTAGATGTGAAACACAAAGAGCATAAATAATTGTGAGTGAATGAAGGCACAATCTTGAATTTGCTTTCTTTGGGCATCATTGTAGATCATTTTAAAGAAACGTCCATGTTGATCTTTGTTGCTAAGTACTTAGATTGTTCTTTGTACCAGCTGGTGCTTCATAATGTTTGGTTTATTTTCTGGCACAAATAGAACTCAATAAATGGAATCAAATAGCCTATTTTTGGTAGAAGCAGTCATTCAAATATTAATGATTTTTAAAGTACTGGAGGTGAAATAGGCTACTAACTGTTATTAATGTTTGGAATATGTATTTATTGCAATATATGTAAAGAGCTCCAAAACAGAAGTTGCACTGGGTATGAGCATCATAACAATTTTTCCTTTATCTCCCCAGATTGCTTAAGAAGATGCAACTAGAAATAATCTTTTAGGAAAAGTGTTGTACATTTGAAAAACCTAACAGTAACTTGCTGGTGGACAAAATGCCTATTTACACAGTTCCTGCAAGAAGCCCCTCTGAGGTACGGCATACTACCGCTTTGCAGAAGGCTTCTTCACAGAATACCTTTACCAGCAGCAGAGTGTCTGGGCAGCAACTGCAATCAAATGAATCGGGGGAAGAAAAGGGAAGTCTACTTTCATGTTCTCAGAATAAGACGGGGGAAGTAAATAGGACCTATGTGATTTCAGCCTGTAAAAAAGTGTGTGATGCATCAGCAGCCTTTAAACCTGAAGGCAGATTAATGCTTCAGAGGAGAACTGGAGCAAGCAAAAAAGCAGTGTCCGGTAGTGAACAGTTGCATGCAAACACAGCACAGGGCATGCAAAATATACAAATGGAGAAAAGACTTACTCTGCAGAGGCGTGTGAGGACTGACTCCATAGAGAAGACTAAAATTACTCGAAGTACTATGCCTGGAATAGAAAATAACTTTGCTGCACAAAGAAATGACAAGATTGCATTTATGCCAGAGATTAATCCTAATGATACCTACGATGTTAAACCAAGCTTTAAGTTAGTTGAGGGTCAGTCAGATATGAAGTTGCAGTGTAACCTGAACAGCAAGGTTTCCTTTGGCTTTGCTGATGGTCTGTGTGAAAATGACAGTTGCATGTGTTTAAAATACAGGACAAACGCTGCTGACACAAAGTTTCCAAATGAAGTTGCTAAATCAGAGCAATTAGTTACCTCAAAATATACGAATAAGCTGTCAGGAGAGCAACTGAATGAAAATGGTACTGGAAAGCAAAGTTTACCACATTTGATGATAAAGCATAACACTTTAGAAAGACTGAGGACGCCAACAAAAAGTTCAACAGAAATATTTGAGCTTGCACCAAAGAACAACGCTTCTCAGGACCAGCCATCATTGTCAGCTTCAAATAAGCAAAAACCTAATCTTAGAATTTTAGCCAAAACTAAAACTAGTGTCACCAGCTCTCCTATCACTGGAAGTTTAAAACCAAAAGAGAACATGGAAGCTCTTGCTGACAGCAGTAGCACAGAGAAAGATGTTTTCAAAGTGGAAAACAGCAAAGTGATTGTAGCTGTGCGTGTACGGCCTTTCAAAAACAGGTTTGTATCCTGGATTTATTTCTGATGGTAATGGTAACTTTTATAGCATATGTTAATTCCTGCTTTGTGTGTTTTGAGTTGTTTAATCATAGACCCAAGATTTTATTAAGAGGTTAAATTCATTTTATAGGTGTTTGGGGCTATTTGTTATGTATTCACTAGATGAAGTATATTGAACTTGAATGCTTTATATGTTCACCAAGTAGGTGTGGGTTTTGTTTTTTGTTTGCTTGTTTTTGTTTTTATATGATTACCAAACTTTTTATCTTCCATTGGGAATTGATTGCAATGACGAACTTAAAGCATGTAGCTTATGTTTTTCAATTTTTAATTTTTTTCCTCCCATTCAGCGAGAAAAATGAAAACTCACTCCCTGTAATCTCCATGAATGGGTCAGAGACGTCTGTACGAAATCCAGCCACAAACCAAGCTTACAGCTTTAGTTATGACTTCTCTTTCTGGTCTTTTGACAAGTGTCATCCTAATTTTGCAAGCCAAGCAACAATTTATAGAACTTTGGCAGTGCCACTCCTGAAGAGAGCATTTGAGGGCTATAATGCCTGTCTTTTTGCTTATGGGCAGACTGGTTCTGGAAAATCATACACGTAAGTTTCTAATAATAGTTGTTAAAATTCTTTAGGAGTCAATTGTGCAACATGAAATGACAAGAAGAGGTTATATGGAATAGACTTAATTGTTACTGAATTGTCTAAAATTATTTTACATATTTGAAACCAGAGATTACTAAAACAATATTTAGAAGTAAGACAAAGATATAGAATATTTTTATGTGTCTAACGCTGACCTTTTTCTAGTTATAGTGAAGAAAATAAAAGCTCTTTGTAGAGACTTTAGTCAAGAAAAACCTTTATAAATGCTGAGAGCTTCTTGGAGTCTGCCAGTGCTATTGTTTACCACTGTTGGTTATTTTGTGCATGAAGTGACATGTTCTAAAGTATACTGTGTTTTTTGGATGAGACCTTTAGGAGATCATTCAAATTATGGTTCTGACTGTTTCAGAACTTTAAATAAATAAATCTGTTTGTTGCATCACTTATTTGAAATCTAATCTTTACACAAAAAAATTCCAGTCAAGCAACATTTCAAGGGTTTATAGCCAGCTTTATATATCTTTTGTATAATTTTCAATAGAAAGCCTAGTGAACTGGTTTGTTTCCACACAAGAGTCTATTATAATCAGTTCTATTAGCTTTATAATTCCCATGATGTACTATAGACTTATAAATACATAGTTAATGACCAGAAATAATTCCCATAGGGTATTATAGAATTATAGATATGTAGTTAAGGGTCAGAAATTTTTCTATGCAATATTTTGATGTTTCTACTTAATTTATAATAAATATAGAACTTACACAGAGACAGTTTTCCTTTTTAAGTGGGAACTCAGTTTTTACTTAAAATGTTTATTTACCTTGCCATAAGAGAGATATGCTCAGTATTGCAATTGTTATTCTGTTTGTAAGTTGGTTTGCTTATTTCTTTGGTTTTCCCTTCCACCTTCAGGTAAACAATTACTTGCCTTCATCCCCTTTGTATTTCAAAGAAGGCTAAAATGAACATCAGTAATAAGTGTATCGTCAGGTCAAGTGTACCCAACAAATTTCTGCTCATAACTATGTTGTGTAGCTGTGTCAATCTGTCAGCTAGCTGTATTAGTCCAGTACTCTGGTGTTCTGCAGTGGCAGAACTACATGGGGGGGAAAAACTACTTCAGAGGTAGAGAGAGGCTTAGGTTGGTACACTGTCAGTGTGCAGAGCATATAAAATGCATGCATGTTATTAGGACATCAGGTGTCTATAGGTTTACTGTTTATAGTACAACTTACTCTTCAGTTGCAGTAGAGTTTTCATTTTACTTAGAATTTTCGACCCATTTTTCAACGGATGAATTGTGAAAGACCTCTGGACATAATCGTCTCCAATTTCCCACTCAAATAAGCAGCAGCATAGGTTAGGTTTATTTCCATTGCTGATTACCTCTGTGGCTTAGAAGGATATGGCATTTCAACTTCAGAGTTATACAATTAATATTAAAAATAGCTATAGAGAATTACAAAACAGAACTTGCATTTTTTTGTAACTACAGGATGATGGGATTTGATAAAGACCGAGGAATAATTCCAAGGCTTTGTGAAGATCTTTTCACTGAAATAGCACAAATGGACAAGCAACAGGTGATATGCTTATGCTTACTTTGAATTATGAGGAAACTGATGCATTTCAGTATTTTGATACCTGTTTAATTTTTTCATTTTATACCTTAGTGCTGGATCCATTTATAAATGTATGGATGCTTTTGCTGATTCAGATCTTATTTTTGCTAGATCTGGTTAGCAGGCTTCCGTAAATAGTGACGGTTAACGTGGTTTTGCTTCCTTAATGACAATAACATAAGAAAGAAATATGGGCATGATATTTTTCATGTGTCCACAGACTATACAGCATGCCTTATAGGGTAAGATTTATGTAAGGAAAGGTAAAAGGAAATCCTAGGGGGTTCCATACTTTCAGTGAAGGCATATATGATAGAACTCAAAATACATAAATTTATTTTAAACATTTTCACTGCAAGTCAGTCCTTACAGGTATTGGCAAACATGCAGAGAAAAAGAATTCCCCCAAACAAACCCCAGCATACCCACATTTTCTTTTTTGGGTCTTTTTCTCTTAAGACATGAAATGAGTAGTTAAAAAAAAAAATAAAATAAAAAAATTATTAGTTAAAGGTAATTGTGTCTCCAGTTATGATTTTCTAACTTGACTATTACTACATCAGTTAATTGGAGCAGAAACAATATAACCCTCATTAAATCTGAGAAATCTAAGGTTATTTATTACTGAGTTTGGATAGAATATAACTTCTAAAAAATACAGAGCTGCTAGGTATGCATGTTATTCCTTTGCTTATGCACTGTGAATAAGTGGGTTTGTGGCTGCAAATTGTCTTGAATCTTGTATTTCTGACTTCTGTTAGGTTTTTTGTTGCCATCTCCCTTGTCTCCTAAAAAAGAAAATTTTATTTAAAAAAGAAAATAAAACCTTCAGAGAAAGGAGATGTGTTTTCATGAAAAGTTTTTTTTGTTTTCATTAATTGCTGTGTGTAGATCAAGGTTCAAATTTTCCTCATGAATGAGACTAGTGCAGGTGCAAACAAAACTGTATTTTTGGGTACTAAAATCCCAACACTGAAACTTCTGAGGTCTATGTATATACTTTTTTTTTTTTTTTCTTGATAGCTATTATCTGGGAATGGCTGTGGATGGAATTCCAGTCAATTATATTCTTGGGGTTTGGACGAGGTGAACTTCTAAAGGTCCTTTCCAACCCAGACTAATCTATGATTTTATGATATGATTTTTCCTGGAAAGTCCCTTCAGTACAAATGCATGTAACAGTGAATAGCAGGATCTGGTAATCTAGGTTAATGTTTGAAATAAAGGAGGATGGAAATATTTTGTGGCCTATATTAATAACTCTTACAATTTATCTTATTAGGTTTTGTATCATCTTGAAATGAGCTTTTTTGAAGTATACAATGAGAAAATTCATGATTTGCTTGTATTTAAAGCTGAAAGTGGACAGAAGAAAGAACCGGTGAGTTGGTCACAGAAAAAAGTATATGCATAATCTCGAAGCAGTGGCATCTGTTCTGTACACAAAAGAGTGTAAATGACAAGTGTCATGTTATTGAAGAACATAAGTTGTTGTGAATAATGGATGCAAGTAAAAAAATCTTACTATATGACTTCAAGCAAAATGCTTGGCACTTCAGAAATGCTAAGCAAAAAAAAACCCACACCACCTGCTGAAATACAAACAAAATGATCCAGTAGAACCTCTCAAGACTGTTAACATCTTCCAAAATGCAGATGATCTTATCAGCTTTTATAAAAACTCTTAGAATATTATTTATATAAGTCTCCAGATTATATTAAGAACCTTCTGTGCAATATAATTTGTTATAATCTTGTAATTTAGATGGAGTTCTAAGATGGGAGAATGACAGTGTCAGGACGCTTCCAAGGGTGTGTGTGGTGGGGGGGGGGGAGGAGGGGGAGTATTTGCCTAGTTGTATTTGATCCATCAGTCTTCTCAGTCCTATTGAAATGTCCATTCACTTTATGAAAATATCTGTGTATTGTTTATGTACTGGGAAGCCTGTTTGCCACTGACTCTACTGGTGTAATTGCATAGTCCTTTCATGAAACAATGTTAATACTTGCAAAGGGAAATTTTTTTGCATAGCTGCAGAAAGCTATCATGCAAGGGATTAGCACCTGTTGGATTGTTGTTTCCTAAGAAGCTTGGGGACAAGAAATCAGTGCCCTGCTTAACTAGTGAAGGATCACAAGTTAAACTAGTTTAGCTAGTTTTTAATGGTTATGTATTAGAATATGCAAAACCATAAATTAAAGAAATTTACGTTAAGTTGGGGAAGTAGGGAAGGAATTTATTTAATTTATTAAAATAAGTACTTTCTGTTCTTTGAACTATTGACCACTATACTGGCCACTTGTTCGTAAACTATGAGTATTAGCTTATGATAAAGAAGGTATACTACGTTCAGCTTCTTGTTGAAAAGTCTTTTATCCTAAACTTGATACTTATGTGGACTTGTTACATAGAGATAAAGACTACACTGTCTTGTTTATACTAGGAGTGCTTTCATTGGAGTTTGTCAGTGATTTTAAGGTAAGGTATTTAACTAAAGCACATAATAGATTTAGGTTGCAGAAAATACTTTTATTTTCTTATGTGAATACCTTACCTAAGGTACCTGTTCTGGCAGTTGGCTCTGTGAGCAGTGGCATGGGGCAGTGTGCTGTGATTACTTGGGCAGCTCTAAAAAATCAGTTGTAGGTATTCTCATGAAAATGTTGTTACAGATGATTCATGCTAAGTTTTATTGATGATAAATGTCATACTAGGGATATAGACAGACTTTCTCTTAATTTTAAGGTATTCCTGAATGGTAGGTCTAACTAATGCAAGTCTAAGAATTTTTCTTTAAAAATTACTCTCACCAGCTTCGTGTAAGAGAACATCCTGTATTGGGACCATACGTGGAAGGCCTGACAGTGTAAGTCTTATCTGTTCTTATTTTAATAGATGTATAGTGTAATCCTGAAAAAGTGTGCTAATTATTATCTTAAACTCTGTGAAAGCTTGTGCACTCACTGGTAAATTAGGCAAGATTTTAGTATCGTGTAGTTTTAGAAAAACACATGCCCATGCCTAGCTCAACTTATTTCCTTTCGTGTAATGCTTTAGTGAAATAAGTGTATGGAAGTATTAAGACAACTGGAGCTTTCATGGTATATTTGTATTTTGTCTGTAACTGGGGAAATGTTTCAGAACTCAGGCAGCAGGAAAAACTAGGAAGACAACAGTCTGAATCCAAACTTTTCTTTTTCCCCTACCTTAGGAATGTTGTCAGTTCTTACTCTGATATCAAGGTAAGATTTATTTGGTTACTAAAAGTGTATGTAAATATTTATACTTTACGCCTTCCTTCACTGCTGAAAACTAAATTCCATGGATGGGAAGAAAATGCTTTACAGACTGCCCAGTAGACTATGATATTTCAGCTGATTTTGTGAAAGGATAATGAGGACTAGTCCTATATAACGGAGCTAAATAGATGCATACAGGCAAGTGTCACTCTTCACATGGTTACCTCTAAAATTTAATTTCCTCCCTTATAGAGTCATCATTTGTGTTAATTAAACTTGGAAACATTTTAATCTTCAGTTAACTGTCCAAAAATGGTTTTGGTTTCCCATCCTTACTTTTATCTTTTATAGAGTTGGCTTGAACTAGGAAATAAGCAGAGAGCAACAGCTGCTACAGCAATGAATGACAAGAGCTCTAGATCTCATTCTGTCTTCACCCTTGTCATGACACAAACCAAGGTATTGCTGGGTGTTAGATATCTCTTCAAATTGTGTAAAAAGTTTTGTGTGCTGCCTAGAAAATTGTTGTGAAAATATACTTGAAGACAAGTAAAGCACAAGGCATTTGAACATGGCTTTCTACACAAGAAAACTTATTTGTTGTGCTTTGAGTAGATTCTGATGTCTATGTGGTACATAGATTTATAGCAGCAATAAAAATATGTCCTCTGGCAGATCTAGGAGTAGTTCTAAGCTTCAGAGTGATTTTTGAGATGTAACTAGAATCCAAATTGAGGTCTAACTGCTGTCAACACACTTATGCTTCTAAGAAGGTTGGCCTATGCAAGCTGGAGAGCTGTGATGAATTTCTACAGGTGATGAACTGGGACAATGATAAGAGGTGCAGTTTCTCCTGAATTTCAACACAATTCACCAAGTAAATATTTCCTTGACTTCAGGATGAATTTCTCACCTATGTGCCTCCAGGATATAGGGACTAAAATTTCAAATCTGATTTACAGATGTGTAAGAAACAAAACCTGACTTAGTGAGATTAGCCTGAAAACAGAAGTGAAATAGGTAGAGCTCCTCAGAAGTCTACAGTCAGTTTTCTCCATTCACAAATAACTTTTGGTTTGAGTATTATTGTTCTTGGTTGGCTTAATTTTTCAGTCCAATATCCTAATAGTCTCCTTCCTTCTTCCCCACACCATTCTCCCCACTAGATTATTTTTTCCCTATTAGAAATAGTCCTGAGATTTTTTTTCCACTGACTGCTTAGCTGATTTTCCTTGGTTTAAGTAAGTAAGAGCTTAATGATTTCCATGGTTATTAGATAGCTGCAACAATCAAACGCGTGGTTTGGTAATCTATTATGTTTGCGGTTTATGCTTATACAGTTATTCAACTGCAAACAGTTGATACTGTGGTTAAGAAGTCTGAACTTAGTCTCCTTCGAGGCATGTACAAGAAGGTATCCTGTCAAAAAAGTAAATGAGAGTGTCAATTTCTTCATGTTTTTAAAGTGAACAGCTTGTTAGATTTCTGCTTCTTGTCATTCTTGTTATTTTGGTCTGAATGTAAACAGGTCTTTTTTTCCAGGTGGAATTTGTGGATGAAGAGCAGTGTGATCGTAGGCTTACCAGTCACATAAATCTAATTGATCTGGCTGGAAGTGAATGCTGCTTAACAGCTCAGACCAGTGGAGAAAGGCTGAAGGTAAATGAAGATGGGAAATCTGTGGAAAAAGAAACTGACTCTAAAGAATGCCCCTAAACTTCAATGTAACTTCACCTACTAGGATTTTTGGGCAGGAACTGTAGTTATAAGCATAAGGCCTACGTATCTTTTTATAAGTATTGCATAGCATTTTGCTAGTGAGGATGGATGGTGCTAACAAGCTGTTTTGACTATGCAGTATGGCAGGCTAGGTTTAGCGTAGGACAGCGCTCCGTATCCTATGTAGGCCTAATGATCCATTAGAAGGAATGAGGAAAACTATTTGCGTGATTTTTCAAATCCTGAATAAGATTTATGCCTCAGATTTGAACTCCCATGGAGTTGGGGCTTGCCCCTTTTTTTGTGGGGGGGATTTAAGTAAATAGCGTTTCTAATAAGAGAGTTTCTTTCAAGCTGCCTTTGTCAGTTTTATGTGTTTTGACATTGTGTATTTTAAAGCCAGGGTCTTTGCTCTTTCCAAATGAGAGTGAGCTTCTAGGCTGCTCTTTCAACTTACTGTTGTTTTTTTAATCAGTGGTGACAATTAATGTGATACAGCTGTACGTTACTGCATTGAATAAGCACAATTAAATCAACAGTACAATCAATAACATCACACAAGAAAATACAAATATTTTTATTTTTGTTTTGTGTAGGAGGGTGTGAGTATCAATAAATCACTATTAACCCTTGGAAAGGTTATTTCTGCCCTCTCTAAACAGTCTCAAAATGGAAAGAAAGCTTTCATTCCTTACCGGGAATCTGTCCTTACTTGGTAGGTATGCTTCAAAATTTCTTTACATAGAAGTAAATACTTTCTCAGACAGTGAATTCCTTTTCTAATCTGGAGGACTCTCTTCCCCTCCTTACCTCCCTTTCTCTCTCAAGTGACCTGTGGAGGGTAGAAACTAGCCTCTTGTATTAGATAAAGAACATTCAGGACCTTGGTTTGTATTTTAAGTAAGCTAACAATCACTCTTAAATAAGTAGCAAGACCCTTGTATTTAATCTCTTCAGAATGGTAAACTTAATTTTTCTTTCAATGTGAGGGCTGGAGATTGACTTCTACTCTCCTGTCAAATTAAGGTTGTTAAAGGAAAGTCTTGGTGGAAATTCACAAACCACTATGATTGCCACAGTGAGTCCAGCTGCTAGCAGTACAGAAGAAACCCTCAGCACTCTTCGCTATGCAAAACAGGCTTGTTCAATTATCAACACTGCTAAAGTAAATGAAGATGTGAATGCCAAGCTAATCAAAGGTGAGGTTAGCATCTGCAGTCTTTAAGGGTTTTTAATTTGCCTGTGTATTCAACTTAATGTTCCATCAGACTTGTTACTACTAATAGTTTATTGTGTTGACTGCCTGCTTGTCAACTAGGTCAACATTAATCTTCCGTTTAATATTACTCTTCTTTGTGAGGTTGTGTGTCCCCCCCCCAAAGTCCAGACCGTATCTGAGGCTATACTTAAGAACCTGGATTGGCAAAAGGCATTTAATTTTTAATTGAATAAGGTGAATTTTCTAGTATTGGACTGAAATGTGTAAACTGTGTTTTGATTGTATTTTTTATGTATTGCTTGTCTGGTTTGTCTTATGGAGAATTGAAAGCTGAAATTGAAAAACTGAAGGCAGCTCAGAGGAGTGCTCTGAAGACTGATCCGGAAAAATACAGACGTTATTTGCAGGAAATAACATCTTTGAGGGTAAAATTGCACCAGCAGGAGAAGGACATGGCAGAAATGCAGAGGTCAGGCAGTCATTAATGTCTTAATTCAAATAGAAATAGTAAAGCTTATATGTTATAACTTTTCTCATAATATATTGTGTTGGTTTTGCCTTAATATATTAAGGGCCTGGAAAGAAAAATTTGAACAAGCAGAAAAAAGGAAATTGGAAGATGCAAAAGAATTGCAGGTATGAACCTTGCAGAAGAATTAGAGTAGTTGTAAGATTTGTTTTCTTTAGGCCAGCCTTTTAACTGTGACTTTATTAAAAAATCAATATAGATATTTCAATGTATGAAGTAGATTGTGGTTTTTTTATACAGAGCTCTCTTTTTATTTAGAAAGCAGTAATTGCATTCAAAATGGACAATAATTTACCAAACCTTGTCAATCTCAGTGAAGATCCTCAGCTTTCTGAGGTGCTGTTGTACATGATCAAGGAAGGAGAAACTACAGTTGGAAGGCATACACCAAATTCAAAACATGATATCCAGCTTTCTGGAGTGCTTATTGCTGATGACCATTGGTATGTAGTGTTCTTACACTTGAAGTGAAAACAGGAAATATTTCTCCTCACCTTTTCCTTTCTTTTGGAGTCACTCTTTCTTCTGGCAGTAACAAGATTTGGTTTTCTGACACTGAAAATACTATTTAGGGATAATCTTTGTACTGTTCAGTGATTCAAAGTAATTTCATCCTGTTCCCTCTAGAAATCTGTTAACCAAGGTAGTTTGGTTTCTCTTTTCATTTCATTCATTCATGGAGAGAATTTTCTAGTTCAGAAATGCTGGAGAAGGACCTGAGCAAATGATGCTATATGGTAACTCTATTATATTCAGTGGAAAAGTGAAATGCCTTGAAAGTTCTTATTAAAACTAAAAATAGAGAGCAGTTTGGCCATATTGTAGAAATAGTGTTTAAAGTGCATTCCATGCAATTGAGTCTAGACAAAGTGCTCTAAGAAACTTAATTAATCAGTTAGTAAAACCATGAAAGATGTGGGTTTGTTGGGAAATTAAGCATTATCAAAGAAATGCTTGGATGACAGCATACTGTAGTAACTTTTCAGAAGTGGATTCTTTTTAGATTTAAATATCAAGTCTCTTCTAAAATGTAGGTTGTTGCTTGTTATTTTCGTGTGTTGTAACTAAAGAGTATGAAGGCAATCCACACCTGACAGAGCAAGGACACTATTTAAAGCATGAATTTTAGTCTATTAAGAAACCTCATTTGCAGTTATGAGCTACTGATACCGCAATTGTTTCTTGTTTTCAGTGTTATAAAAAATACTGTTGGCAAAGTGAGCATTATTCCACTGGGAGAAGCGAAGACATATGTAAATGGAAAATGCATTTTAAACCCAACAGTTCTGCATCATGTAAGTAATTGATTTGGTAATATTAATATGTGCATGTGTGAATTTTTTTTGCTTTGTTAATATTGCAACTTCAGACTGCAGGTTTTCTTAGAAGGCTCTGAAACTGTAAATACTTATCTCTTGAATTTCTAGCCCCACCTGCTATCTTTTAAGCACAGTAAATTTGCTTATAAATATAAAAGTTATAGAACCAACTTTTTCCTCCCCCACTTCCCTCTTTCCCCATAGGGTGATCGAGTGATCCTTGGGGGAGACCATTATTTCAGGTTTAATCATCCAGTAGAAGTTCAGAAAGGTAAAACGTCCTCTTGTGGGACATTTTTACATGATGGTCCAAAAGATTTTGAATTTGCAAAGAACGAACTGCTTATTGCACAGAGAGCCCAGTAAGTATCTTACCTTCTTGTTCTGAAAATAAGCTCAGTTGTTAATGCAACCTTGAAATACATTTAAAAAATAGGAAACTTGAGATTATAAATTATTTCTCAATAAGGGAAGTTGGAAAATTTCAAGCTTATTGTTAACTCCATTTTTAACTGAAATGCAACTCCCAGACTTAGCTTAAATGAAGGTACCTCTAAGTTATGATCAGCACAATCTAGTCCAGTTGTCAAGAATATAGACCACTATTAAAGAAATGCTGAGGTCCAGAGGCTCTCAGAGTAACGTATCTCTTCAGTTACCTTTCTTTCCAAGCACATAATGAGTATGAAATTAACTTTTGATGTTTTAGAGAGATGTAAAGCCTCAAAAGCAAATGCCTTACAAAAATGAGAAGAATCCGAAGTTACAAACCTAGTCTTCTGTGGTGGTGGAGAATCTGGGAGACAGAAAAGTGTTATTTGCACTTGCTTTGCTCCTGGAAGTTATTAACCTGCAAGACTCATTGACTTTAAATTTTACTTGCCTTCATCTTAATGTGGTTTAGTGAATTTCTACTGAGATCTTAATTTTGAGAGGTACATTGTTGACACGGGAGTCACGGACAACGCAGAGACAATCAAGCGATTGCCAAATTTATTACAAAGCCTTAACTCCTTATATACTATTTCTTACATGCACTTACAGTTATTTGGCATATTATGATTGGATACATGTCTTGAAGACCCTTAGTGACTAACATATAATTGGTTAAGCACAGGTGTGAGAACTTGACCTCAAAAGCTTGCCAACAGTCCACAGTTCTCATTAACTCAGTGAATTCCAGCTTCTTGTTATCTTGCTTGCTTAAGCTTCTTTGGGCCGCTTATGGCCTTGCTGTATCTTTCAGGATTATCCAGAGTTTATGTACTAATTATGCATTCTCCCGTGAGAACACTGTCTCCACAGTACATAATAAAATAAATACGGAAATTGAGTGGACTTTAAAATTCTGTTATGTTTTGCATCTTTACCAGTGTCTACATTTTCCCTAGGAGGTGAAAAATACTAAAGTGTAAAGTAAAAATAATAAAATAATATGACATAATAAAATGAAACCCCAGCAAAATCAACAAACCCTCATATTTTTATTTTTACTGTTAAATTGGATGCTCCTGTCATGATAGAAGACATTTCTCTCTATGCAGCCTATATAAGGTTAAAGCCAGCATTCTGTGATACTTGTAGGCTTGAATCGGAAATTGAAGAGGCACGACTCAAAGCCAAGGAAGAAATGATGCAAAGTGTCCAGATTGCGAAAGAGATGGTTCAAAAAGAACTGACCTCACAAAAAGAAGCTTATGAAAGCAAAATAAAATCACTGGAGGCAGAGGTGGTAAGTTGCCATTGCATTGTTATATAAAACATATCAATAAAATAAACCAGAAGCTGTAGTATGAGGTTTCTATTTGGTTGGGTATTTTTTTTGTTGTTCTTTTGCCTTGCTTAACAGTGTCTTAGGGAATGCTAAGCCCCATTTTTTGTAAAAAAAAAAAAAACAAAACAAACAAAAAAACCCCACAAACCAAACAAAAAATAAAATAAAATATCAGTATTACTTTAACACAAGAAGTTGTAAATAGGTATTCCCTACAGAATTATTCTAGGAATTTTGGTTTATAGGATTAGTCATGAACTAAAATGTTAATCCAGTGTGCATTTGATCAGGGTATATGTAAGAAAAATCCCTACAAAATATAACTTACTCTTGAGAGTTTTCAATGACTACAGTATTTTAGTTAACATGGCTTTCCCCCCCCTCCAAGTTTGCATGCTGTTTTGTTGTAAGCCTTTTGAACAACTTTACAATATGCATAAGTAAATATTGAATAGTACATCATGGCAAACCAAGTAATAATGATGGAGTAGTGTATTTCTTAAGTGTGCTATAGAAGACATAATACAATGCTTGTGAACTGAGGCATAACCTTTCGTTGCTGACTCTGGGCTCAGTAGTCCCCAGGGACTGCATGTTTTAAATGTGTAAATGTGAAAATAAACCTTAATATCTGCCAAGGGGATGGGTTAGGAAAGCTGTAGAAGTGGTAATCCTCCACTTTTCTGTCCTTTTTTTTGTATTAGAGAGAAGAATCTCTTAAGAAGCAAATCCAAGAACAGAATAACCAAAAAGCTGAGACTAAAATACAGGAGTTAGAGAAGGCAAAGCAGAATCTTGAGCTGGAACTACGCTTCAATAAGAAGCGTTTAGAAATGGAGACATTAGCTACCAAGCAGGTAACTTTAAAAAAGGCAACAAAAAAAAAACAAACAAAAAAGGTAATAAACTGTGGTTGGTTTGTGGATTGGTGCTTTGATTGTTTGTTGGTGTGCTTTTTGTTTTATTTTAATTTAATTGCTTCTGAAATATTTTTTATGTGATTTTGTGCAACAGAACAGATGTTTTGTTCACACTCAGAGTGTGATATTGCATTGAATTCAGGGATAAATTAATGCTGACCTCATTTATTATATGACGTGGATGGTTTTGTAAATCCAGCAAACTTTAATGACAATTGCCTGTACCAAAAGTCATGCCTTCAGGCATTAATGTAAGTAATGGCTGGTGTTTATATATATGACTGCTGCAACAACTATGACTAAATTTTTAAAAAGGAATTTCTTTTTAATTTCAGTAATTTTTTTGAAGCATAACAATATCTAAGCAAAACCAGAAGATTGTCACAGTTTGAATATGAAGGGTATTGATACAGCAGATGTCCAATATAAGTTTTATGCTGTTCTGGGAATTTTAAAAATACAGCAACAAATAATTTTGCTTCAGCAAACAGCATTAAGTGTTTTAGGGGGTTTTGGTGTGTGTAGTTAAGTTTTTGTTTGTTTTTTTTTTTTATTCCACTCTCTCCCTTAGGCTCTAGAAGATCATACTATTCATCATGCAAAGATACTTGAAGCCTTGGAAGCTGAGAAGCAGAAGATCGCTGAAGAAATACAGAGTCTTCAGAAGAATTATGAAAGTGGGAATAAAACTATGACTGGTATGTGTATACCTAATGTTGGAAAGGCAGTGCTGACTTCTCCCTTGCTTGGTAGGCTTGGATTTAGGGGATGCAGATCCAAGAGCTTTTTCTCTTCCACTAGCACTTCTCTAATGATCCTGAAGGGGAAGAGCCTTTTGGCTTTAATGATCCTTTTTGTTCATAAGAACAAAAAGACTGTGCTAAAATATCTGTTTAAAACATGCTAAGGGTAGTTAGGTGGATATTCACGTAGCCTGTATTTAACCTGATTACCAAAAATTCCTACCCCCATCTAGCTGAACTGGTTAGGCATTAACTCATGGGGGAAACTGGAGTAGCAGAACTGATTCTGTTTAGTTTCCTACCTCAGGATAATGTACAGTGTCTGGTGTTATGCCTCAATCTCTGGAATACCCTTTACCTGACCTTTTATAGAGGGTTATCTTGGTCAGGAGGGTCATTTTTCCCAGTGTATTGGGAATTCACAGAACTGTTGTTGACTAAATTTTATTCAAGGATTTTGATTGTGGTTTTGTTTTTCGCCTCCCTTAATTCCCTCCCCCTCCCCTTTTTTTTTTTAAACCTGAAGTTGTTTGTTGCATCATGTTGTTTGATCCACTTAATCATTATGTGCTATAATCTTTATTAGTTCCACTTAACTGGAATTCTCTGAAGCTATCTGTGATGATCGAAGAGGCCAACACCATTAGTAATCAATTAGGGAAAACCACTGTTTTCTATAGGTGAGTATCTCAGTTATTTATAAGGGGGTTTATATAAAATATATATTTATGCATACATAATTGGTGGTAGATTCTGCATGTGCAGTGAGCTGTTTGTTTATATTTTAGCTCTTATGTTAGGCTGAACATGATAAATCACTTTTCCAAAATGGTTTTAGGTGAGTGTGTAGTTCAGCCTTGTTAGTTTGAAATGTGAGCTTCAAATCTGAATTTTAGATCAAGGCTTTAAATGTATGTCTACAGACAATTAATTTCGGATTGAATGCGCTTTGGAGGTGAATCTTCTGATGCTCATGTCCATCTTGCTTTGGTTCACATATTGAAGTGGTCCTAAAACACCTATTTTCTTTTTGGGCAAAACTAAACCAGGGAATAAGTGACAGCTCAGGGAGGTGTTTGGTTCACAGGACTGCAACAAAGGTAGTTCAAAAACTCAGATCCTAAACATTATAGGATATATTATAGCAGATATTGAGTGTTTGGGACCAGTTGTTTCACTCCACAGATCTCTTGCTATGCCATGCTACTTGGTAGTTGTAACTCAAGAGCATTCTAGAAGTGAACCTGTATATTGGTCAGATGTTCTTAGTGTGAGCAGAGATACATCAGTGAAGAGGAAACTCTGTATCATTTAAAAAAAAAAAAAAAAAAAATGCTGCAGTAAACGTAAGTGAGCTTGGAGGACTTCCTAGCAGGTGTATATATTCCTGTGGTTTTTCAGATGTCTTATCCTTCAACAAGAACTCTGCCAGTAGAATTCTGTAGCATATATTTGGTTCTGAGTTTCTTCAGCCAGGAGATTGTATGTTAGTATCTACTTTTATCTCTGAATGCAGGGATTACTTTTTTCCTTTATATAAAAATAAGTTTAATGGCTACACTAATATTTGCCTTGTGAGATACATGATGTGTCAAGCAATTTCTGTGTAATGACATTTTTGTTCTCTGTATAATCCTGCCTACAAGTACCTTGTTTATTTTTTCAATGAATAATGGATTTCTTTTTTGCTGTTTTTTTCCCTTTTTTTTGTATGTGTTTTTTTAATTTATTTAATTTTATTTATTTTCTCAAATTCCTAGGCACGACAAAATTGATGATAAAACAGGAGCAGCATCTTCTGTTCAGGTGCAGGTTCGTAACATCAGACTGGGAATAGCAACTTTCTGGAGCCTAGAGAAGTTTGAATGCAAACTAGCAGCAATGAAGGAACTATATGAGGTCAGTAATACTTTGTCAAAAATAAGATTGTACTAATCTATTCAGGAGGAAAATCTTAATTTTTTGTTTTATGTGATGTTAAACACCAGGACGCATGATTATTTTTTGTTAAATACTTGTACACGCACTTGTTAATCACACAGAAAGAAGACAGTAGAAACTAGTGATTTTATTCAGGTAATTTTGTGTGCAGAGGGAGAAGTAGTGAAACAAGAACTGCTTTGTGGTTCTTTTGTTTAATTATCTGTTCTAGAGGAAAACATGACCTTTTAAAGCTATCACTTGAATTTTCCTTGATACATTCTATCTATTTTTCTTTGGCTCTGGTATATATGTTTGCTGCTGCTTGCTTTCATCTTTGCTTTAGGTTCTTCAATGGGTGCTTTTAAAGGCGTTTTTTATCAGTTTTTGTTTAATAAACTGACAATTAATGTGCCCATTAATCCCTTTTCCTAATTCCATTGATTTTAATCAGACAAAATGGGTATTTTTGTATTGCATCTCTCTAAATGTGCAGTAAATTGTTGCATATCATACTAGCTTTTGTATCAAAGAGGGGGATATAGAATAGAAGAGAGGGAGAACTGTGAGCAGTGCCAACACCTGATTGTGTATCCACAAAAAACCCCATAACCATCAGGTAAAGTCTTTTTAATTACATAAAAGTAGCCAATGGTGGCAAATTATTGAATACAGATAAGATTACAATATCAGCTCTTGTTGGGAGAATAGTATTTTATTTTCTATTTCTGAGAAAGAAATGTTGTAAGTTTATCTTTATTGACTCCATGTGAACAGACGGTGTTTTCATTTTATTCCATTGCAATTTTTTTCCCTGAGTTGAACAGCAAAGAGGCCTAAGAACTACTTGGGAGGGTGGAATCTCTGGTCTGGTGGCCCTTAAAAGTACTTTTTTAGTGGGGATAGAGTATTCTGGGATTTTCCAGTTTCCAGGGGTGAACATGGTGGGTGCTTTTGTTTCTGCCATATGAATTGAAAGTTGTTTTAGACTACAGTGAAATAATGAAAGAAGATTCCTGGAGATGGGTTAACATGAAGGAGGGATCAAAAGAAACCTTGTAGAACCATAATGATCTTGTATTTTATGCTATACTAGTGTAGAGTCTTTTTGATTGAAACACAAATGAGAAATAAACATTTAAAACTAGTTTTAGACTGAGAACAGCTTGTCTAAATTTATTCTCTGCTTGAATTTGTGATTATCCAGATAATAAAATTCTTTTCATTCTGATACCTGTTTAGTCTGGAACAATATTGAAAAATTAATACAAATTGCTTCAAATAGTATATAAATAAATGTTTGGATGCTTACTGTCTCCAAACTTAAGTCACGATCTGGCAGAAGAGGAGATCTCAACTGTTGGAGTATTCAAGGTGATAGAGAAAAATACAGTCATTTTATGCTTCAGAATGCTTTATTTTCTATTGTAGAGGTAGTAGCATGTCACCAAAGAATTAGTTTTATTTGAAAGAATAACTATCTATGAGTATATATCTGAAATAAATAAATTTTCAGTATTATATCCAAAAAGAAAAATGTCAAAGAAAAGCCAGAAAAAAAAACGAGGAAACTCTGCTTTATGATAAAACTTTGTAAGAGGCAAGTGTTTCCAGTGAAAGGACAGTGTTGCCATATTCATTGCTAAAACCTGCACACAAATCCAGTTATAAAAATAAATGAAAACTCTAAATTATGATGCCAGGGTTTTAATATATCTGTCATGTGGTGGAGACAGCTGTGGAAACATTTTGTACTTTTGTTCCTATATATCAGGTGCTGGATAACCGGGTGACTTCATTAAATGTTTACCTTTTTTTAGTTTGTTTTTAAGCTCTTGCACCTCAAGGTGGTTGGCGATCAGTTATCTCCTATGTTTCATATATCCTAAGAAAAAAAACATTAAAACTACTGATAATAGAACATACTGTCTTCATTCATATGTTAAATGCCTTATTATTACTCTATTTTGGTTTAACCCTCTTATTCCCCTGTGTTTCCTTTATATTTCTCAGAGTAATGACAGGAATAAAGCTGCTGATGTATTTTATGACCCTGCTGATGAGTGGGAACCTGACCTTTCAGATGCCTCTGTTTCCTCTCTTTCCAGAAGAAGGTGATACTAACTTGCAGCTCCTTCATCTACACTTAAAGCAAAAATTAACTTGCTTAACTGTCTAAACATGTTTCTGTGCCACTACCATAGTCTTTTATTAATTCTTATTTTACTTCATCAAAATGTGAAACTTATCAATTAATGAGAATTCATGTATATGTAAAGGAGGAGGGGGAAAGTTTAAATTAAATGTGTTATTTTACTGTGCTTCACTGGCTTCACTGAGGAAATGTGTTAGTATGCACCAAACATTGCTCACCACCCACTAGAGATTTTTGGCATATTAAACAGCAATGTTTCTGAGGTTGGACATAGTATATATGCAGTGTATGTCTGATCAGTGCCAGAGGATTTTATGTATGACCATTGACAACCAGCTGGAGGTAATTAAAGGCTGTTCTCAATTATTTCATAAAGCTGTCTTAAAAATGGATACATTTGTCTGTAGCACAGAACTTTTAATTAACCTGCACAGGATCCATAGGTTAAGGTTACAAATACACACCTAATTAATTAGTAACACAAGCAGTTTTAAATAGGCACTTGGACATCTGTTCCTGTCCTTACTTAGCACATACACTGTGCCAAGTGATGAGTTCTTCTATTCAGTCGTTCTCCTATCTTTCCTCATGGACAAGAAATAATAGGAGCAAAAGTTTTTCCAAACCCATAAGTATATTTTGACAAAACACGTGTAAGGCTTTCTAACCATTTATCCAGTTATTATCAGAGTTTAATGTTTTCTTCAAACTTCTGTCATATGAAAGCATTGTTTTTAAGGAGTAAATTGTGGTTGTTATTTTTATGTTTTCACTTTATCATCCTTTCCTAGAAGTAGAAGTTTCATGAAAAACAGGAGAATTTCTGGATGTTTGTCTGAGATAAAATTACAACCAATTCAGAATATGCAGACTTCCTATACATCAGGTACTTGCTATATGATAAGAACACTTCTCATTTAATACTGAGAACTTGAAACTACTGCATGTGTAAAATTTATGCACTTCTAGTGGTCGTTTTTAAAAAAAGTAAGTGTGGTTTGGGAAAGAAAATAAAAAATGTCCTGTTTATAAGGACAGTTTATAATGCCAAGCTGTTGTCAGAAGATTTTTGTACTTTTTTTATTATCCTTTCTTAGGGCAAAAACTTCCTGACAAGCACTGATGACCCTTACTTAAGCAATTTGCTTAAAACATTACTCCACTTAAATGTGTGTGTTAACTGAAGAAAGATGACAGTCCATGCATCAAATTGCCAGAGGCTGAATTCTAGTGTCATAATTTGGAGACTGCTTGAGTTGTTGCTATTCATTCAACTACTGAGGCTACCCCAAGCTTTTTGTCAGGTTTTATATTTTTTTTTTTTCTGAAATACTAGATGCTTCAGTCTTCCAAATATTTTGATGCATTCAGTTATTTTCTGTCTCTCTGTAGGTATGATTGTTGGAACAGGTGGATTAATGTTAAAGATTTTCACTATGGAATTAGTCTTTTGTACTAAGTGAATCTAGAAACTATTTAGAACGTTGTAGCCACATGTTTTCTGACTTACTGTCTTGTAGTTGAACGTTGCAGAAGAAGCAGTATAAAATACTCGCACAAAGACACATGGACTGCTCAGTCATAATGCAAGAATGTGTTTATGGATGTTTTGCTTTTACATCATACAGGTTTACAGAACAAGTCCAGCATGTGCCCAAGCTTTTGTGAATCTTTTCTTCCTGGAATTTGCAGGGAATCTATAAATTCAGCTTTAGATTTACTGGAACAGAATCATGAAGGAGGAAAGAGCATAGCAGATAATGTCCTGACTAATTTGTTTGTCATTTTCTCTGGAGCATCTGCCATTTCAAAAGCCTATGAACAGCAAGATGAAGAATGTCAAGAGAACTGTAAGTTTGATTTTTCATAACAGTTTAAGCATCACTAATGACTTGTCTTTCGGATGTATGTTCTTATCTTTGTCTATCAGAATTCACTTGCAAAGGGAAACCTTCTGATAGATCTCTTTTTCTCTTGTAGTTTTCTCTCTTGATCATGCTGCTCAGTCCTACAGCATCAGAATTATCTCTGCTTTTGACCAGCTTGTGATTCTTACCAAACTTTGGCTTAACAATATCCAAAAGTGGCCTGGACCTACAAAAGTTGATGAAGAAATAAAACAGGAAGTAAAGAACTTGGGAGGTTATTTACAGCTACTGTTGCAGGTAAAGTATATTAAGGGATTCATCTGTGTGTTGAAAAGTCCTATGCAGTGTTAATTACAGACTTGCTAAAAACACTCAGAAGTCCAAAGTATGCAATGACAAATGGACACCCTTAAGGAAGACGAACAGCAAAGGCTGTGTTTCTGCTGGCTAAACCAGTACTTCCAATACACTAGTTTAAAGCAATACAGACCTTTCTGTGCCACAGGCTCTGATAATACCATAGGTTCTTAATCGTAACAGGGGACAATAAAACATGGAGTAGCAAGAGCAAATGCTAGTTTATATTGTGAAGTGCTACTGTTAATAAAGTAGTGTTCAGTAAATATTACTCTTGTTCATGGTGCAGCTTTATGAAGAGTGAATTTTTTTTTTAACTGTGTAGTATTCTGATACCTTTCTTCTCTGGTTGCAAGGTATGATCTTTTAGCTGTGGTAGAGAAACCATTGGAAGTAGGAAGATAGAAAGCTGAAAATGTCTCAAGCTATTGTGTGTTATGAACTCTTGTGTTACAAAAACTGCCCTTTGACTAGAGATGCCTGCTAGCTTCAGTGAATGATATGCCTTTATTTCTCAGGGATGTTCTTCAGATATATCCTCAATGGTAACAGAAGCACTCAGCAAAGTAAACCAAACAGTAAAACAAACAATGAAATACATAGGACACTTGGCAGTAGTCACAAGAGCTGATATTTCATTTTCTGAAGAGAACAACATTGCTGCAACCAGTCTACAGGTGAAAAATTGTTTATTAGAAGTAATGATTAGAATAGTAATTTTAATGTTGGTATCACATTTATTTTCAGTAACTGTGTTCAGAAATGCATTGTTACATATAACAATTTGATAAACTGACTTGTTTTTAGAGTTTATCTAATACTTCATTTTTATTGTGAAAATGGGTGTGTGTTAATACCCTTGAAATAATTTTTACTTAAAAAAAATGCACTTTAAAGCTGTTTAACTTCCACAAAGAAAAATAAATACTATGCTTTCAGGATTGTATCTGCACTGAGATTGTATGAGTCTACTTAATTCACAGAAATTCAATGATTATTTCAGTAATCTGTGATTAAGTACCACAATGGATTTTCAGAAATCTGAAGAGAGTTAGGAAAAGGAGAACAAAAGTGCTGAGCCCTTGTGGTCAAAGAATGAGATGTAACTGAACAGACCATCACTGAATGGTTTGCTCACAATTACGTTTCTAGCCCACTGCAGAAATTTATTTTGATTCAAGGCCACATCAGTTCCTTCAATCATTATGTTTTGAACCCTTATTTTAAAAGGACTTTGTACCCGCTGTTTACCATGGCGTATGCTCAGGGCTGGAGTTTCTCATTGGTACTGTACAGGAAAAAGCAAGAATGGTGCAGAAAGAACTTGTGAAACAATATCCACAAAATGAGGTGAGGTGAAAGTAAGATTAAAAACTACTGCTATATCTTAGAGGCACTTGATCATGTCCTGTTATTTTTCAGTAATTTTGTCTAGAAATTTTATAGTAGGAATAGAGTTATGATTAGTAACAGGGGTTTGAGATGTGTGGTAAGTTGGACTATTAACTAGGATCTTGAAATTTTTAGTGTTTGCCTTTCACCATATGTAGACCGAATGTTTAAGTAAGTGTATTTTATCTAGAGTGGTTTATATGTGCATTGCAGGACATTTATATCATTTCACAGTGTTACCATGAAGGAGAGGGAGAATATGAAAACTGGCACAAAGGAGCAAGTGGGCCTTTTGCTCTGTATGCTGCTGTTAAGTTTGCCTTGCAAAAAGATTGAATATTTAACATGTAGTAAAGATCTATGATCCTGAAAGTTGTTATATTGATAATAGTAATCACCTCTGCTATTACTACACTCACTGTTGTCAGAAGTATTATTAGAAAGCTTGAAGACTTCGTTTTGTCATACATTGTTTTTATAGTCCTAGTCCTAAACAGCATGCTATCTAAATATTAAAGTAGTTCAGTGTTACCTTTTCAGAGCTTGTCTTGCCATGTGCTTAATGCTCAGGGTACAAAGAAGCACTTCCATGAATTGGGGACTTTAGAGGGAAAACAGTTGACTAAAGTAGCTATTTAATACTGCAGAAGCTAGAAATTTCCTGCTTGATTTTGTGTGTTTCACTGAAATCAAAACTGACCTTCAAATACTTTCCAGGCTGATAAGCAGCAGTGGAGTTTTCATTTGAGCAATTTCTTTGCAACACTTCATAGGAAGGTTGCAGCAAATGATTTATGTTCTATTAATGAGTTGTTCCTGTCACCTTGCAAATTTTTTGTAATATGAAATGCAATTATATCAATGGAAATCTCTTATCTCATAGCAAGACCTCAATTTAGTTGTAAGCTGAAAAACTTGCAGAACTGTGAGCAATAAGAAAATCTCCTTAATGAGTTGGGATATATAAAATATTTATTTCTAAGAATTTACTACTCAAAAATCTGTAATAAATGACCTGGGATAAAAGGTTCAAATCTGTTCAAGAGGAGTGATAAATTGCTTGCTTCAAGTAAACTTCTTAATCTAGTTTTTACTTGTTGTTATTCTTAATCCCATAGATAATAGTGAAACTGTCTAAAATTTTTTATGTACCTATCTGCTTAACTCCCAAATGCTTCATTTTTCCAGCAAAAAGAACCGAGCAGTCTGTTTTCCAGATAATGCTGTTCACTTTCAGCGGATTCCTATGTGTCTGTATGATTCCTGTGTATTCTTGTCATGGGTGAAACTAATGCGAAGCTGGGAGACAACACCAGAGTGTTAACCAGGAGATTACCCGTGACTTTTAGAATGACAGCGATACAAAAATTACAGGATGATCTTTCTTTAGTGAACACTTAAATTTGTTTGTTGGATCCTCCCTTATTAAGGTGTTACTTAAAACCTTGCAGATAAAGTTAAGATTTTTTGAAAAATTGCATGTTATGTTGCAGAAAACATGACTTCTGCCTTTGAGCATTTTTCTCATTAGCATGCCAATGTTCATTGTTGGCTTTCTAAAATATATAATATATACAAATACATACAATATAATATGAAGTCTCTTTGCAGATTCAAAATCAAATAAAGGATAATGTTGTAGCAATAGCCAGATTCCTTGAAAATAACCTCTCTTATTGTGGAAAGGTAAGATAAATTTTTCACAAAATACATGCTTTGAGTTTGAGGTTTAAATTTAAGGGATGTGTGTAATAAAGAGGAGGATTTGAAGCTAGCTTTTACAATTGCGTGTTAACACTTCCTGTCTCAGTCTTGTGAATGAATGGGATGCTAACTTTTATGGCTACTTCATTTCCACTAAAAACTATTAGATTTTAATTTTACATAAAGTATTTATGGAGATACTAGTATCTTATTTTTCTCCTTGTGCTCAGCATAAGCAGCCTAATAGTCTAATTATAACTAATGCAATAATTTATGGCCATAACTATTGGTATTTTGAATTAAAAGCCAGGATAGATTATTTAACCTGCCTCCTAAAATAGATTAACTTTTAAAGCAAAAATTAGCCAAACCTTTTCTGGATTTTACTGTTCTGTTTGCCTCCCCCCCCCCCCCCCCAACTTGTACTTCTCTTCAAATCTATCTTAGGCTTTGTGATTTGGCATTGCTTACATCTTGTGTTTCAGTATTGGCCTGTTTTACATGACTCAGTCCATAATAGGCATGTTTACTAGTTAATATACTTCCATGTATTTGATTCTATTTAAATTATTCTTTTTAATAAAGAAAGAAATAGACTCTCAATTACCAGAAGAATCTCTATATCAGGAAATAAAGAAAAGCACTAACATCGCTGCAAAATATTTGGAATTGGAGCAGTGCTTAGCTGAAGTCTGTCAAATTGTTTCTTCTGTCTTACAAGGTATTTTGCTTGGTTATTACCTGTTTTTATAGTAACCTGTGGATCACAGGAAACTGTGAAGCAAGAGGGAAGGAGGGCTTACTTGGTCTGTCTTTACAAAATGTTGCATTTGAATCTTCTTGCTTTTGTTTTTCATAGGGTCGTACAGAAACACAAGCCCTCTTCGGAGCTTTGCAGAAAATATCTGTGTCATAGCTGGGTATTTTAACAACTATTTCCATTTATTTGCCTTGTCATCTTCTTCTGTAAACAATCCCATCCAGGAAAAAAATATGCCTTTTATGAACTTGGATGAATTGGACTCTCTAGTTGATTCCCTTATTATAAATTTTGAACTTGAACAAGGACAGTTATTACTGAAATCTCAGACTCTTCGTAATGAAACTGAGACTCAAGGAATACCGGTTGTAACAGATGAAGTTGAATTTGCTTGGAAACAGAAAGTGATTCCAAAATACACACAGAAGCTTCAGTCTTCACCTCCCTTTTCTGCAGAGCTTTCACCTGGTAGGATACAGTGGGTATAAAATACTATTATCAAGAAATGCAGGGGAACTCTTAACTTTTATTTGAAGGGAAAGCAATATACCACAAAAACCTAAAATTTATTGGTAATATTATTAAATGGTATGAAAGTAAATGATATGATTTGTACAAGGATAAGTACCCTAAATTTCACAAGGAAAAATGCAATTCCTCAAGGAGCTGTTAAACTTTAGTGCCTTTTGTTTTTAATGAAAGTCTATTTTTACCTAAGCCTATAAGAAATAATTCAATGCAGTAAGTAAAAAAACCTACTGGAGGTAATGTGAGTAGGAAAAATAAAAACTATCAAGGAATAATGAGGAAACACAGCAGACACTTAGTAGGGCATTCATATCTCATCTTAAACATTCGACTTGGGGATTTTGCGTAACAGTGGAAGGAGATTCCTTTGAAGGACATTTGTAACAAACATTTATGTTGCATACATCTAGATGAAAAGATTGCCTTCCTATCTCAGATACTCAAAGTAGATGATATGGGTGCTGATGTTTAGGTGTTTTTTTTCTTGTTAAAAATGTTGCCTTATCTTTGCTGCATTGTGGCACAGTAGCGCTACTGCAACTTTAAAGTGGGTTTTATACCTTTTTTAACAGCAAAACCTGTTTCTGTGGGGTAAAATTGCTTTACAACCTTATTTCTTATGTGATTTTGTAGTCCATTGAAGAACCTCGGCTTAAAGTTATCAGTGATGACATACTTCAGCTTGATCTAAAGTAAATTATATGAGTATCCTTGCTATCTTTTGATTGCTCAAATTATTTTCAGTACTATTTATAGTGAATTGGAAACATAGTTCCTCCTAAATAATATCTAAGTTATCCCATGAGGTTGTAGATAACTTTTCCAGTCAATTACTTCCATGTGCTTTTTACTGTAGTCATCATTTGACCTCTGACCGTTAGCATGCTGGATGAAGCCAGTGAAAATTAACAGCAAGGATAAAAATCAATATGAATTTTTGTTCTTTAATAATGGGTTATAGGACGCTTGGACCTACCACATTTTACTCGCAGCAGAGCTGAGAAATTTGTAAGATAAACCTTGATAGATAAAACTATTTTTTTATCTATCAAAGCTTCCAAGCCAGATATTCATAGCTATCTTCTTTCCTTCTGAGAGAAGATGCTCAACATCTTGAGAATTCCAGTCTTCAAGAACCCATTAGGCTTTTGAAACTATTTTGAATGAAAAGACTACACTAAAGAGTCAATCATCCTTTTCCTTTGAAAAATTTCACGCTATAGTTATGTTGGTATTGAGAAATTTTGTGCTTTTATGTTTTGGAGGAAATAGGAAAAGGTAATTCTGCTGAACCAGTAACCCACTTATGTTTTTATTAATTCCTTATACTTTTGTCAAAAAATGTCTTCCAGTCCTGTCATCAAAACTATTCAGTTTTTATTGTGGCTAATAGGTTACTTATCACATGAAGTGTGCTGTTGCTGAGAATTGCTTTCCTCTTGTAAAGGCCTTCACAAGTCTGCATAAGGGTTAAAAAAGTATATTCAGTTGTTCAGATTTTTGTGCTTTAGAAGTTGAATAGAAACCTGTTATATTTCTACTTCTATGAATGTATTATTTTGTATTTGGCTGTAAGTTTTTAAAACATAACTGGTGGTTCTGAATCATGTGACTAAGGTAAACACTGTAAAGAATAAAACTACATCATGTAACTGATTTTAACAACTTTAAATGAAAATTCCTTGCCAGTTTCCTTCTGTGTAGAGTTGTTTTTGAGACCTTCCTTTGTCACCAAACGTACTGCTTTTTGCTGAAAGTATTGTAGTGTAAGAATCTGAAGTACTAGTAAGAGGTGTTTTCTGTAGCTCACAAGCAAAACAACAAAAAATCTGAAACAAAACACACTTCTTACTTACGTTTCTTTCTTCTATTAAGACATCTACCAGCACACATTTAGAGGCTGAACAGTTGTGGCCTAATCTCATGTTTGGTTTTGTTCTTGTATTTAAAGAGAAGCATTGCTCAGAAAACATCCTTGGTTTTGTAGTTCTGTGTGTTCTTATGAGAGAGTTTTTTTTGTCTTTTTCTTTCTGAAACTGAAAGACAAGTCCTTCATACACTAGGAGCTCAGTAACTGACTTTCATTTTTTAGTGTTTCTGAAGCTCAGAAAGATACCAAGCAAACATGGGTTTCAGATAGATTTTTACCTGAGGACACCCTTAATCATATAAAATCTAGCTTTTGCAGGATGAGTGAAAATGTTGCCAGTATCTTCTTGCTGCTCGGTTGGTGTTTGTTTTTACCATTCCATGCTAACCAGCCATGTCTAATCAGTCGTGCTCGGGTTGTTAATACTGTATTCACATTTTAGAGTTATATGCTAACAAAACCTACTTCTGCTAGTGTTTTCTCTTTGCCCTTGTTACAGTTATACATCATTGAAGTACTTCATTCTAACGATATATAGTGACCATACATCATAAGAGTGAACTAGTGCTCTCATAACATACTGCATTAATACATCAACAAACCTAGCGGAGGCTCCAATAATCTATTGGTGTAATATACCATAAGGTAAGGTATATTTATAACTATAGGCTAGTCTGTCCATAAATTGTGAATGTCAAGGAACTGGGATCACAGCAGGCAGATTTTGGGATGGATTGACTTGAATGGTATGTTATTTTACTAGTAAGGAGTTGGAGGTAGTTGTGGATTAGGCCTAAGTCAGCAGAGGAGTTGTCTTGGCTGAACACAGTTCCCTGCATCACCTGCTAGGAAGACTGGTGCAATGAAATAGACCCCAATATTGCTGAGATAAAGGACTGCAGTTCAGTCCAGATACTTTCACCATCTTGTTTTTGCAGATTTGCCTGTAAAGTCAGGGTCTGGATAACTGCTGGCAGATAGTGATAACACACAGAATATCTTCTTGTGATCGTATCTTCAGAGTTTCTTTTAAACCATAAACTAAAGAAGACACCAAAACAGTGCAATTTAAATAGAGATTTTAGATTGGTATTTTACAAAGTTACTCTTGCAGGAATGTATAATGATGTTGTCAATTTCTTTGGGGAAATTGAGGTGGGAGTGGGATCACAGCCAGTATTTATTAAAACACATTTTATTAACTTATTAATGTAATTAAAATGTTTACTTCCAGCAGATAACTGTTCACATAGTACATTCACTTATCCCTTTACACTTCACTTGCATCCATACATAAAAATCTCTTATAGCTACAAGATTGGACTGTGAGCCTTCTGACTCAGAAGTGGAGGCTCATGTTGGCTTAACAATGAGACTTTGATGTGTTATACCCCTCAGCATGTATGCTTCCTCTCTGCTAAAAGCACTAAATTTGGTCTTGAAAGATTTCAAACCTATGGTCTTCAGATCTGTGTTGCTGAAACACTGAGTGAACAGTCAGGAATGTGCATGGTGGAGGGGTGTTATGAAGAAATATTCATAGAGACCTGAATGGGATGTGCTGTTTACTGAAGTTATGATGGGTTCATTTTGTTATATGCAGCGATGTAATCTGTAATTTGTGCATTGTTTGTTGTGGTGTTTTTTATGTGTTGGGGTTGTGTGTTGTTTTTTGCTTTAATGTCCTTCCTTACTCCCTCAGGAAAATATTTTTTCAGATTTCAGGTAAAAAGTAATTAGAACTTTTATGAACTTGACCCATGGATTTTATTGACTAATAGAAAAGAAAGAATGGGCGACTTGGTTCTAATTTTAAAATAGAAATTGGGGAGGTGGGTATTCAGACTTCTACTCCCTCGGTACATTTGAAAAGATAAAACTAAGACAAACCAAATGAAACTTTCTTCATAATAGAAGTGACTTGAAGTTAATAAGAATTAGTTATTTCTTCAGTTCAATACTTTATTTGGAAAACAGTACCACAGGAATAAAAATACATAATTATTCTTAAGAGTATTGACCTCTTACTACTTTTCACAATTTCTATTCTAGTTTTATTTGTTTAGTAGTACTAAAATAAATTCCAAATTACACATATGAACATCATCCAGCATCAGTACACGAGGTGAACTACAGCACAAAAATATGTAAATTGACTTCTGTTTTGGAACTTGGTAAAGCCATGGTAGACAACTGTCATGCACTAAACTGTTAATTTTCATCCCTAATCAGGAATAAGAGACACCTTTACTTCAGTTAAAGGGAAGAGTCCTGGGAGGAACTATATCTTCAGAATATAAATGCTGGATTACTTGAGAATATTTCAAGCAACATTACTCCATCTGTATTGAGACATATTGTATGTACACACACTGGAAAAAAAGAGCAGTCTAGCTGTGCTTTTTAAGGAACGTGTACCAGCATTAGACATTCAGGTTAAGTAAACTTTTCTAGCACTCACTGACTCATGAGAATACTCTATATGAAGAAAAATATGCTGCAGTTTAGATTTAATTTGATCCAGTAATGGCATCTGCAGGCAGAAGAGGAGACTACATCTGATTCACCTCTGCAGATACAAGCTATTCTTTTTGGACAGGAAATTTCTTCTCATTCTTTGTAAACTTTAATATACTGTCTTTAGATGAGTTCTGTTGCTTTTGTATGTTTTGCAGCTTTTCTGATTTCAGGATAGGGTGGGTTTATTGTTTTTGGGGTGTTTATGCATTTTCCCAAGGAAGGGCTCTTTACTTGGTGTTCGGGAAGGTCATGGAGCAGAACACCTTAAGTTCTGTCTTGTGGCATGTTCAGGACAACCAGGTGACCACACCCAGTCAGCATGGGTTTATCAAAGGCAGATCCTGCCCGTGTTGCTGACAAAGATTTTAAGCAGTACGGCTCCCAATACCAACAGCTGCAGAATGCCACTCGTCACTGGTTTCTACTCAGACAGCTGTTGACTGCAATTCTTTGGGTGTGACCACCCAGCCAATTCCTTATGTGTCAAATCCATACCTTTCCGGATTAGAAGTAAGAATATTGTGCAGGACTGTCAAATGCCTTGCACAAGTCCAGGTAGGTAATGTCAGTCAGTCCACCAAAGTTACTGACCAACACTAACCCTCTTATAGAAATCTGTGAGACTTGTCAGGCATGATTTGCCCTTAGTGAAACCATGTTGGCTGTCACCAATCACCTCCTTA